TGGCTGGGGAATTCTGGGAGTTGAAGTCCACCCATCTTAAACTTGCCAAGATTGAGAAACAATGTCCTAGATAAACGTCCACAATGCAGCTCTTTACATTTCCAGATCATGCTGAAAGCACAGCCAGATATAGGTGTGGTTTATGTTGTGAGTTTGTCATGTGGTGCCTCAGTTATGATTTTATGATTGTTTTATTGTGTGTGTTTTTAATTTTGTTTCTAGAAGTTTTATGACACCGTTTTCTTACAGACGGTTCTTGGCCGCCCAGAGTTATGCCTGTAAGACGGGTGGCCATAAAAATATGATACATGAATAAACAAAACCAGCCCAAATATACACATGGGAGAGATCAGCAACAGTTCACGTCCTGCTGGTGGACTTCATAAAGACATTGGCTTGGCCACCGTGGGAACAAACTCCAAATTAGAAGGATTAAGTCTGAACCTACTATTTGGTTCTTACAGTCCTCTCACATTTCCAGAAAGGAGCCTCCATAAGCAGGTCGGAGTCAGAAGAGTCAAGGTGGCTGCTGCAATCATGTGATCAAAAGCCACCCATGTGGTTGTGGTGACCATCTGACTTTTCTGACCTTCCTTGATGACACCCCTGTGGCCAAGAAGCATTTCATGTGTCACTTTGGAAGATGACTAGAACTTCAGTTTAACCCCTTTGATCGTTTTTTCCTTTTTCCTTCTTCCGAGCTGACCATCCTTGACTTTGGATGTTGGTTCTGTAAGAATGCATCTGACCTTAGATGACCTTTTCCCAGTGTTGGGAAAAGATGATATTTTGGCCTCACGTGTTAAGAATTAAACCCTGATCTATGGGGTTCAGAGACGATATGTGGAAACAGTCAAGAGGTCTACCTGCCAAACTCTACAGATCTAATATTCTGAGGCATGAGTGAGCTGAATTGACAGTTGTTACTCTGAATTTAGTTATAATTATTAAAGGCCATCTCCATGTTTGCAAACAGGACAAGAGACTCAGCCACTGCAAAGATAGCTGCAAAGATTTTGCTATTGTAGAAAGGTGGATTTTTGATGAATTCCTGCTTTGCTTGCCACTTTTCAGTGCATTATTTGAAACCTTGCCAGGGGCCTTTTTAAAAATGAAAATTGTAATGTGGTTGTGCTAAAAAGAAAAAAAGAAAAAAAAAGAATGCAATGCAATAAGATGCCAAGATACTTTTTAAAAATAATTTCTTTGCTGTAATGGCTTTCTGGTTTGGCCTATGTGACAGACTTCTAACATTACTTTGATGTAATGCTTGAGAATTCGAGTTTATCTTTTGGAAAATGACTCAGAATTGAATGGGCATGATTCACTTCCTTGTATAAGCCGGCCGTCTCTGTGAGAAATGCCCACCACAGTGGGGGATTCCCACATTTGCGTGTTCTGATCTCAACCGATCTAGTTTCAGCCACCACTTTCACACCTTCCACATCAGCTTTTTTTGATTTGGTACCTGCTCTCCCTTTGCTATTTTGCATTACTTTCCACCATCTGATTTTCAAATGTAGGCAGAATTTGTGTGTGTGTGTGTTTTTTAAGTGTTGCTTTTTAATGGACAGTCGTTTGCAAAGCTGAGATCTGTAATTGCACAGCTGGACAAAGGAAGACTTAGAGTAAACATCTGAGATTGATGACAGTATTTGTGGTATTTTGGTACACATCAGACACTGGTGCTGGGGTATTAGGTGAGCTCTGTTAGTTGGCTGGTTGGCTGTAATTTCTTATTGATTGTAAGATGAAATGAGCTATTTGGACCTAGGCACATGATCTATAGATTGAGTGTGGTAGTAATTTCTTTTGTAATTAATTGGAGTTGTTTTGTTGCTCTCTGGTTTTAATTTCTTGTTAGCTACCCAGTGTTGCAAATGGGTATTTAAATTATAAACCATTTAAATAAATAAGTCTGTAAAACCAGCCACCTTTATTGATAGACCTTGATCTCCTCAAGGTTTAATACTTTCAGTTTTCAAAGTTCAGGGTGAATGTTGATGCTTAAGTTAGGTGATAGACAGGAGGAATTGTAAATGCAAGCAGCAGGACTGTGAAGACTCTGTTGACAAAGCGGCAAAGAGACCGTATAGCCCTTTAAGCTCCCAAGGAAAAAGTCACATCCAGCTGTTTGCGTAGATTTGAACAGGATTGCCAGATGTTTGAGTGGGAAAGATGCAATTGGGAGGTAAAGGTGTCTGGGTTTTTTTGTTTATCTATAGAAGAGTATTCTTTTGATTTTGTTGGTTTAAGGATTTAACGGCAGGAACTGATGCCCATCTTGTGCTGTTTGCTCATGTAATATCTCCATCATGCCACTGGGTGTAGAACTACGATGGGTGGAAAGTAGGTCAGAATCTACTGGGGGACTCAATGGAGTTGCTGAAAGCTCTTCCTCTTTCTTCCCCGCCCCACTGCCCAGCAGTTGGAACAACAAAAGCCACCCATCCGCCCTTCCCCAAAATTGGGGTCCTTAAAACGGTAGCCATTTAGATATAGAGTTGTATTTTCATACATAGGTCATACCAGGATGAGGAGATGGGATTGCTCTCTTACTCCCTATTTTGTATCTGACGACACTCCCAAGCCAGTATTTTGTGTCCTGTTGGCAGACCTACAAGTCTAGTGAAAAAAACCCTACAGATTAGTTCCTGTCAGCCTGAAGAATTCCCAGATCTCATGAATAAAGTAACACATTCAGGGCCGTTCCCCATCTTTGAAGAACCCACAACTTCCTTGTTTGGAAGATCTTAACCGGTTGGCCACAGACCTCCAAGGAAGGGATTGTTCTGCTCTCCTGAGTCAGGGAGTCCCAACTTTCAATGCCTTTTTTGTTGCCCCTGCCAGGAGTTGCAGCATCGCTACGGTTGAACGACAAAGGGAGCTTGATTTGCTGCTGAACAATCCAGCGCATGCTGCATGAAGGTGCCGCCACAGGGGGAAGGCGGTGTTGCTTCTGTACCCGACCTCTTGCAAGCCTGGACAAGAGTTTCATCATGGTCCTTATTATCAGCCAGCAGATGCAGTTCCCCAGCGGCTCTGCTTTTGTTGTTCCTTATTTGCCAAGAGAAGGATATGGAGCTCTTTAAAAGGCTGCCCCGGGGAACGCTTGGGCGCTGTTTTGATTATTGTTTTTCGTCAGCCTCTGGTGTTTTCTCCTAACGGGCCATGGGCTGAATTAATTTCACCCAGGTTTATTAGTGGAAAGAAAGTTATCCCTGTAGGCTGTGTGGTGAGCAATAGAAAAGCGTCAGAATCTCTCCCTGCTATTAAAGATGACCTGCTTGGCGATGTAGGTGTGCCACAGATCTTTGTGAAACTGTAACCCAGTGGTTGTTATTGTCATCACTGCTCCCTCAATGTCCAGTGTTCAGTGTAAATGTCAAAGCAGCACCACTGAAGCACAAGACAGAGGTATTGGCAAGCTTGGGTGAACACCAACATTTTCAGAAAATATTTTGCGGATGTAGAGAGAATAGTCAGGGGAGTGGAGACCCCAAAACCTCTGGGGGAAGACTGAGCATGCTCAGTAGTCATAGAGTGGTGACTGACTAGAGGGGATGAAGTTGCTAAAAGGTGGAAGAGGATGTATTCCGTTTGTGAATATTTTGCGGCAGGACTCTCTTGTTACTTTCCAAAATTAATTTAGGTTGGGTGTTACCATAACTGTACCATAAATATTACATTTTTGCTGGCTTCTTTGTGGCCAATATGTGTCCAACCTGTTTTGCAATCCTAGGTTTAAGTGTTAGGTCCGGAAGTTGCATAGGTTACAATAAATGTCAGCAATTTACAATAATCTATTTATGATGAATAATATCTGACTTTGTCCTTCTTCCACACCCTTTACAAATATTACATGCCTCAAAATGGAAAAATGCAACCCTGAATTCGTTGTCAACCTTCCAGGAAGAGCCAACAACTCTCACTGTTGAAAACACTCTGTGTCTGTTAATGTAAGAATAAAACACCACACAATTATGGGAGATGTATTGCTGCTGGAGAGAAGATAAATGCTAATTCGGACAGAGTAGAGAAGATATCGTCGGAGAAACAATCAGAAACATGACTGTAAAAATAACTTGCCCTCGATTTTGCAAAATAAGGAAAAAGGGTCCATGTCCTGCAAGGTCAGAAACAGGTTAATGTTTTTAGCCATTCTTTTCCACGCTGTGAGGTGAGAGGCTTAAAACAAAATAAAACAGAGATCATGAGGTCTGTGGAAGTGAAGAGGAGTGTGCATCATATCCTCAGCTCACCTGAATCCAGAATTGCACAGTGTTCGTTTTTTCACAGAATTCTCAATCAGAAAGGGAAACTTTCTGAGAGCCGGCTTCTAACTTGTAACACGGGTGAATGTGTGGCTGGTGGCACGTCGGCCTTGTTATATCGCCTTCCAGGAATGCCTTCATTTTTTGTTTTTTTGTTTTAAATAGGAGATATCAAGAGCTTGGACTTCCTGTCTCAGTATGGGCGAGTCCCACCCATTCACTTGAGAAAGTCATTCATTGACAATTAAAGCAGTAAAACCATTCAGCCTTTACGGTTGAAACGGAAATGGCTGATAAGAAAAAGGGAAAGACCAAACAAAACACGCAACGAGCCACATATACTTCATGAGCGTGTGAAAAGTGCCATAAAATATCAGTATGCCAGAAGGCTGAACCCCTGCCATATTTTTCTGAGCTTGCTGCAATGTTTTATTCCATGCCCTGAGCGCAATTGCTGAAAAGACTTCTGGGCCCAGACACAACATCTACAGAACTTCCCGAGCAGGTCTTTATAGCTTTGTCAATAAGCTCCCAGGCGTTCTTGGGTTGCAAGTGTCTTTATTCACTTGTGGGCACTAGAATCTTCCATTTTTGGGTAGGCGGGGCTAAGCTTGATTGCATTAAATAATTGAGGCTGTAAACATAAACGTGCCCTTGAATTTAGCACCACCCCAAGTGATTATTGTTGACGTAGCCATGCAGCGTTCCTGGCAGCAGCATAGAAACAGTTTGGCACTGCCTCCGTCCAGGAATTTTTCAACTATGGTGCTGGAATTGTCCCATCCAGGTCTTAACCAGATCTGACCCTGCTTAGCTCCTGAACCCAGACAAGCTTGGCTAGATGCTCACCTGCTGAAACAGACTCTTGTAGTTTTCAGTTCCATGCTGGACACAGAGGGGGCAATGGCCCTCTCCTTAACAGCCAGAGGCATGGAAACAGAGGTGGTTAAGCCCTTGACAGGGCAGTAAATAAAGTATGTGTCCTCTCAAGGATTGACTTGAGTACTCCACCATATCACCTAGCTGCCTCCACCATCATCATTTCTCTTTTCTTTTGAGGAAGGTGAACTTGGAGTCAGTGACCTACCCAGTTTAAAGTATGTGTGATAGCACAGGTAGGTCATTTTAGACCCATGTTTCTCAACCTTGGCATCTTGAAGATGGGTGGACTTCAATTCCCAGAATTCCCC